GAGCCCCGCGTTGTCCCCGAGGACGTCTCGTCGCGTCGCGCTCGGACCGCCCTCCGTCAACGCACGGGAGCAAACTCCCATTCGGGCGCGCGAGCAGCCCCGGCGGCCCATGGACGCTGCTATCAGGTTCATTTGACTTAAATTTCTGCCCCCCGCCCAAGCTGAGCTCGAGGCACTACTACATTTCTTTACTGTTAAGGAAAATAAAGGTCAAGCCACTGGGGGCTGACTGTAGGTATTGACACGGGATGTTGCACTTAAGCCATTGCAGGTAACCGGCGACCGTGCGTGCAAGTTGCTTGCTGACCTTTGGGGTCAGCCCCATAATAGCGACATTTTTGGTGGCTCCGATGGAGGACATTCAAGGCCCTTTTGCAGCCTGGCGAGAGTCCCAGGGCTGGGGCTGCCCAGGGCAAGGCAAAGCCACCAGCCGGGAAGGGAAAGGGGAAGGGGAAGGGGACGTGCGGCTGCGGGAGCGAAGTGGAGGAGGAAGGAAGAGGGTGGCAGAAAGACGATGTGGTTGTGTAATAACGTTTGTAATTCAGAGCTTTCAAATCACGTCGGCATTTTATATAGTAACGCGACGGTGAATTAAGAAAAGAAAGTCTTCCACAAGTCCATAGAGGGACTTGTTCTTCTCCAAGGTGGGGCGTCGATCTCGTAAAGTCTCAATTTTGCATCCAAGAAATCAAGGTCAAAAACGGGCAAGCAGGCCTTTAACTCCCCATACCTCAGGGTCCTGGCGAGCCCAGCGAGGTTTTCCATTAGCTATTCCCAGAGCAGCAAGTCGTTGGGACACTGTCAGTGGGAAAGGAGCTGGTGTGAAAGCTGGATTTTGTTCGATGCTTTCAGTTTTCAGGTTCCTTGCAGAGCGTTATTAAAAGGGCCTGATCCTACGACAGTTTCATGTGGTTTTGCTGGGTTGGGGTCTTTTCACAGCAAAGTCTCCAAAACGCTGGGAGACCATTCCCTGCCCAGCACTGCAGAGGACCCAGGCGATGTGTCCCACTTGCTGCAGGATGCTGCCCGTCCTTGGCCGCTCCTGAGGATTTCGTACCTTAGGGCCTGTCCACGACAAGGGTGAAGGGATGCCAACATCCAGAGACGGCCCAGAAGTTGAGCGGGCCTCTTCCAGCGAAACCAAACAGCAGGTTTTGGCTCCAGTGATGCTATTAGGCAGGACATCCCTTCATGCTGTAGCGGGGATGAAACCCAGGCATTTCTTGGAGAGGTCAGGAGGGTCTCCTCCTCACAACTGGTCCGGGGGAAGGTGTGCGTGGTGCAGAGGGGCCTGGGCAGCATCTGCCCTCTGAACACCAGAAGCGGGACAAAATAACGTGCTCATCCCCAGGGGCTGCAAGGAAGCAACCCATCATTGCAGCATCATCTGACCCAGCAGGAGTGACTAAGGGTGTCTCTCACCCTGCCCCAGGATGTGCAGCTTCTGGAAATTTTATTCTGGGAAGCAAAACAACTGCAACCTTGGTGCAGTTGATCTAATTTTTTATTAGATCAACCTCGGTGAAATCAGGGAATGCTTAACACCCTCTCAGCACATCTGTCCAAATCCTTTAGCGTTCATTAACAGGAAGATGTACGATGGGTACCCAGCTAGTATGTGGACATCGCTTCTTATGTTTTTCTAGCTATATGATCGGTGCCCCTTTTTTCTGGGGGAAAAAAAATATAGGTATATATATCTGTCAGAGGCCGATTTGTGTGGGGCCTTGCTTTGCATGCCAAGAATAAGCCAGCTCTGATTTCTGCTGGGGCGTTGCATGGCCATCATTGCCTGCATGGCTACAAAGAGAAACTGAGCGCAACTAGTGGTTCCTTCCCAGACGCGTCCTATTGATTCATATCTAAACACGGATTTTCATAGCGCAGCCCAGTTCTTGTTCAGTTACTGAAGTGACGTGCTTGGATTTCCCCTGGTACGCAGAGTGACCTGTTGAATCCCCACGGTATCACACCAGAATACGCCCGTTTGACTAGCTGGCCCTGAAGCTCTTAAAAGGTTCAGCTTTGAGAAGGAAAGGTGAACTGGATGTGGACACGGCGAGAAAGAGAACTTGACGGAGATATCGTAATCCCAGGTTTTAAAGTGGTTTTGATAGCGATGTTTTTGGTGTATGACTATACCAATAAATGTCGTGGTGTTTTCTCAGGAAGGAAAAGCGTACAGTCATTTCTAGTGGCTAACATTTCTGCATGCCGAGTGGTAATTCCAAAAAGGGAAAAGCAGGGTGAGGATCTACCCTAAGACTATATTTAAGCTAACCACTTCCTGGATGCCAGTAATTCAGCAGAGGGGCCCTCGTATATTGATCTGTGGATTTGTGCGTGCTATCGTCAGCTGAAACATGTTAAAAATGATCTAGCAGCTCATGTACTTACCGCAGCAGCTGTATCGTTGCAGGCAAGATGGCGAAGCATGCTGGAATAGCAATCTCTTCTCACCCCGCTCCACATCTGAGCTGCGAGAGTTAAGGCACGGGGCGAGCCTAAGCGATACTGGAGTCAATTGGTTGTCACAAAAAGCTTGTGATTTGAGTCGCTTTGGGGTTTCGTTATTTTCTATTTGACCTTGTTCTCCACTGGATCCTCTGGAAGTCCCTCCTATGGTACCTCAACTGGAGGCCTGTAGGAACGTGGTGCAAATACCTCCCAGAGGACGAGAGCATGGCAAGCAACAAGTGCTCTGCTGTGCGGCTTTGCTGCACTCCTGTAGCCATTAAACAGCTTAAAAACATGCCATTTAGTGTTGTAAAGCTGTAGAAGGCCTCAGGCTAGTTCAGCAAGGTCGCCTCAAAGACACTGCAAAAACAGATGATGAGAAATGAGAGGGGAGTCAGGCGAGCCCATATGGAAAGGAAAAGAAAGTTCATACTTTTTGGCAGAGGGAGACTAGAGATGCTACGTGCCTGAGCCCCCTCTGAGAGATGAGAGTGAAAAAGCTGTCACAGCGTTTCCAAACATACAAGTCAAAGACGGAGCAAGAACTCGGTCTGTAACAGCAATTTTGGAGATGAGGAAAAAATGATCCGAGTTAAGCCCTTCGGGAGAAGCAAACTACGCCAGACATTCGCAATGTCGGACGGCGATGGACAGAAACCCAACCCTGGCGTCAATGCTGCGGAGATGCTGGCTCTCCTGCCCTTCAGAGAGGATCTGGGCCCTCAATACAATAGTGCAGAAGGATTCATAAGAGGTTGCGTTGAACATGTCCGCAGTAAATGCGGCAACACCAGCTTGGAGTGTCTTGGCCATACCGAAACTATTAGTTGGTCGCGAGTGAAAGTGAACTTTTGGTGCACCTCTCTCCTTTCTCCACAAATCACCCAGCATGCCTTTGGCTGAGAGATCAAAACTGTTTGACAAGAGAAAAAACAACAACAACAAAAAAAATACGAACCAAAAATCCCCAACTGCAGTGAATTGCCGCTGCTGTGGTTTGCGGTACATCATCTGCTGCAGAGATAGATATAAAGATACCTTCTGCTGAAACCTGAGAGTGAGCTTCACGCACGCCTACCTCGGTGCTACCCACTTCAGCAGTATGTGAAAACCCCTTCAGGAGCACATGGGATCTGATCACTGAGCTTATTTGCTGTTATTGTGGAAAAAGAGGGCCCGTCCGTTTCATACGGTGCCCGATTTCCAGCCCTGGGCTCCTTCCACTGTCTCCCTCCAGTCCTAGCTGGGATGTCCTCACATCATCTCGTGCCTCCGGTGGCTCTAAAACACTTTCCCAACTAACCTGTGTCTTCCCTGATGCCCCCTCTTTCGGTTGCATTTTAATAAGAATAGCTCATGTATGCACCCAGCCTTCTTTTCTTCAGGGCACGCCATTTCAACTTCAGCTTTCTTTTTCCAGCTGCTTTTTCACTTACTGCACTGGGCCAGTGGCAAGTTGAAGGGTTTCAGCTAACAACGATCCACATGCCTTTCAACTCCGTCTATCGTGTTTAGAATAATAAGGACATTGCAGAGGACTCAGCTGATCTATGCCCACCATCCCCAGTGGGCTTT